AAGTGTGAATGACTGATACCCTCTCTCTTTAACGGATATTTAAATAGATAATGATGAAAAATAATAAACTTTCATGGTATAATTTCAGGATGATAGGAGAGATAATCTTGTCCTTTTCAAAATCTCTCAAATTGTACTGGCAAGGTGGCTATTCTAACTAAGGTTGATTTTTTTTTTCTCTAAAACTTATTTGAATTCACAGAGGACTATCCTCTTCCACTCCCAAAATAATGATTTTTAGGAAAGTCTTGAATGAATCCAAGACAACTGGATTATCATTAATGCTATTCGTTAATAATAGTAATCACACTTGAGGTTGCAAAGACTTCTTACAAAAGTTCGATCTCATTTAATTCTTGCAACAGTTCCACATAGCAAGCATTGTCATCTACATTTTTTATTATGGTAAAAATACATATAATCCACCATTTTAACCACTCTCTGGTAGCATTAAGTACATCCTCATTATTGTGCAACCTCACTGTTATCTGTCTCCAGTACTTTTTCATCATCCCAAACTGAAACTCTATACCCATTAAACATTACTCCCCAGTCCTCCTTCTTCTCAGGCCCTGGTTAGTCCTCTTTTTTCTTCACTATACATGTGCCTATTCTAGTAGAATATGAGTAGAATCAATAAGTGGAATCACGTAGTAACTATCCTTTTGTGCCTGGTATATTTAATTTAGCGTAATGTTTTCAAGGTCCCTCCATGTTGTAGCATGTATCATAATTTCATTCCTTTTTCTGGCTGAATAATATACTATTGTATGTATATACTGCACTTTGTTTGTCCATTCATCCATCAATGGACATTTGGGTTATTTCTACCTTTTGGCCACTGTTAATAATGCTGCTGTGAACATCAGTATACAAATATCTATGTCCTAGTCCCTGCGTATTATCTCCATTTTATAGATAAGAAATCCAAGACTTGAAAAGGACAAAGTGAATTTTTCAAGTCACACAGCTTGTAGTGAAGCCAAAACCAGAGCCAAGTTCTGGTCCAGGTAAAAGGTGCCGATGTGCACCTGAGAGGAAAATACATTGAATGAATGTTCAGCTGGGTTGCATAGGTATGTATTTATTGGTAAATAGCTACCCCATGAACCCCAACCCCAGTTGCCTGGCCACTCTCTCGAAACTCTCAAGGGACCCATCATGATCCAGCAACCAAGGAGGTAACACCTAACCCAGTTTGTTATGACAGGGCCCTGCTTCTAATGACAGTGTACATTCTTATTGGTCAGTGCCTGTGCCATGTAGTGTTTGCTATTGTGACTAGCACCTCTGAGTGTTCACGGGATCATGGTCTTCTGTGCGTATGAGGCAACCTGTCAACACCATGGGGTATGCCTGTGACAAAGACGAGAGCCTATAGAGGGTCCACAAAAGAAGCTAGAAAGCCTGGGGAAAAAAACTAAGGATTTAAAAGGAAATAAAGACAGTATTCTTAGTTAAATCGGAAGCTTCAGTTTTGGGACCTAAGGAAGGGCGCAAGAACCTAGACAAGAGAAAGGCCATCTGGGGAGTCTCATGAGAAAGTCTCAGGGTGCCAGGCTGGGAGACAATAGGAAGACCATTAAAATCTCTGAAGCTGAAGGAGGTGGCCCAGAACCAGGAAGGGAAAGACCCACTCACCAGTGACCCTGCAGACTGAGGAAGAGAGCTCAGCCTTGGTATCTGGGACCACTGGGAGGAGACACCATAAAAGCAGGAGAGACCCAAGGGGTCATGGCTGGTCCAGAAGAGAAATGACAGTACGGAGGATCAGAAGGAGCCAGTGTCCAGCCTGACATCTAAAAGGGAGTGACATGAGATTTTTGGATGTGTACTCCAAGATGAGCCTCTGCCAGTCACTGTGGGTGCTAGGCTACCTCAGACACTTAAGTACTGCTTCAGAAGAGCCAGAGTGAAAAGCCAGAGCCCCAAGTGCTATCTCCTGGGGAGAAGTCTCCTTGTAATTCTTTTATTTCTTGGAGGGGCAGCAGAAAGTTTCTCAGGGTAAATGGCACAGCACCTGACAGAGGTGTCCTTCTGGGTTAGGGCTGAAGGTGGGGAGTCCCGTGCCCTCACAGGGCTTCATAGCCACATTTAGCCCATCACGAGTACCAGCCCTGCTCTTGCCCATTTCGCTGGTGAAAACCATGACAGGGTTCTACTTCCTCCTTTCTTCCATTTGTTCAGTCTGAAACCACTCATGCATTAAAGTGAGAAGACACGTGTGGTTTGGTCTCAGCACCTAACTCCATTTACTCTAGAAATCAGTTGGTTTTGCTTGCCCATATTCATTTCTCCTTCTGGTAACAACTTCTTAATTCCCCTTTGAGGAAACTACCCCTCCCTTTCTTTTCTTTCTTTATAATTTAATTATGGTAAAATAGACATAACAAAATTTGCCATCTTAACTTTTTTTTTCTTGTAGTTAAGTTTCTCTCTCTCTCTCTCTCTCCTCTCTTTCCTTGTGCACACACACACACAATTTCTTTTAGAGACATATCTTGTTCTATTGATCTGTCTCCCCCCTCTCTCTCTTTCTCTCTTTCTCTCTCACTCTCTTTGCCATCTTAACCATTTTTAAGTGTATATTTTGGTAGTGTTAAGTACATTTACATTGTCATGCAACCAACCCCCTAACTTTCTTAAGAAGCCCATGTTATTTTGAGTCTGACCATAACTTTTGGCTCCAAGGAGGAGCCTATGAATAAGCATGGGCCCTTCAGAGCCTCCTATTCCCCTAACCACAGTGAGTGGTTTATAATTGATTCACAGAAGACAAGTCCATTAGAATCAGTTCAAGGATTGTTACTAGAACTATTGGGAAAGAGGCTTTCTTTTCCTGCTTCAGATGCCAAACTAATGGCAATTAAGTTTGAACTTGCAGGCACCCATCTTTGCCACTAACTTTAGAACCTGCCTGATAAGGAAGCCTACACAGAGGAAAGCAATGCTGAGGAATAGAGATGGATGGATTCCTGGCAATGTTTGAGTGCCTGGATCCAGCCGTGCCTGAAGGTATTCCCCATATACTGTTTGGTTATTTGAAAGAATAAATCCTCTTTTTTTTTTTTTCTGAAACCAAGCCAATTGGGTTTTTGTCATTTGCAACTAAAAGACCCCTAAACTCAGAAATATAGTTGCTGTTGAGGCTCAATAAGATCTAAGTCTCAATGTCCTTTTTTCTGCTTCCTGACATTCTGAGCTTTCATAGATCATCACTTAATGTAGCTCAGAGCTCCCCATACATTGAGCCATGACAATTTTTTTTGGGGGGGGAGGTGGTTGAGTGGAAATGAGTATCATAAAGAAGTTCTACCAAAGGCAAAAAAATTTGTCACTAATGTGCAAACACATCAGTGAACATCATTGAACATACCACAAGCATGTCTTGAGAAAAATAATGCTTTTTAGTCATGGTTAAAAACCGACCCTCTCCTAACTTTATGTGGTTATAAAGTGGATCTGAGAATGGTGTGAGGCATATCTAGTTGTCCACCCAAGAGTCTAGTTTATACTTTATGGTGTGGATACCTGCCGCAGCCAGAACACAGGTACTGGTGTCACTCCTCTGTGACAAAGAAAGATCAGAGACAAACAGGTCAATGCACTCCTAACACAGGCCCCGGGACAAAGACGCCAGGACCCTGCTCTCTGCTTAGGAGTTTCCTGCTCTTGTATGATGGATTTAAACACTATATAAATCAGGTTTATATGGATTTTCATGAGGTTCCATGAGGACACCCACTAGATGAAAACACCCCTTTGTAAAATAGGTGTTTTGTTTTGTTTTGTTTTGACCTAAAGGCAAAAGTTGAGCATTTTGTATTTTGTTGTTGTTTTTTGTTTTGTTTTTTTTTCTGGGCCCATGATTCTATAATCCCCTCTAGGAACTCTCGGACACATATATAAAAACCTACTGGGTGTGTGAGGGAAATAAATAAGTCTCAGGATGCTAAAACCCAGCAAACCATCAACATCCACAGAAGCAGTCTGTGTGTGAAAAGAGCATAAATCTCGGAAGGCCAGTTCTATAAACTCAAAATGTTTCTACTGTCCAAACTCCTAATAGGCTGTACCTATCACGGAAGAAATCTTCAGTGAGGTCTCTTCACTTCACCTGGAAGTGCATTACCCAAGACCAGCCCTATCCAGAGGCTCCATTCTTAGGACTCTGATTCAGTCTCCATGAGTCTCAGTACTGTTGGGCACATGGCCACCTTCTCTCAGGGGTGAGGTGAGCGGGCAGCCCGTTCTGAGGCAACCCGGAGCCAGGCCAGTGGCTCCTTACTTGTGCCAGCTCCTCAGTGCATGGGGATGCTGAACCCTCCAGAATCCAGCCCACTTGAAGAGGCCACGAGGGCTTTGGAGGAGCTCCAGATAAGGAATCAGAAAGGCCAGAGATCTAGTCTCTCTGACATTACTAGCTGTGGGTCCAAGTAACAGAACCCTAGTGAGTTTCTCAAGGACAAACACTGTGAGAAATGAGCTTTGCCTGTCTTCTTCACAGCTCTGTCCCCAACACAGACCTGCACATGGAAGGTATCCACAAGTGTGCATTGCTGTCAATGAGTATCAGTGTCTTTACCTAGGACATGTTGATTCTGAATCCACCTTGTGGGGCGGGAAAGAAGATCCAAGCACTCAGCATGCTGAGCCTCAGGGTAGTCTCAATGCATTCAGTCACCCAGCCCAGGAGAGAGCATTATTTGTTCCCATTTTGCAGATGAACATACTGAGGCTTAGAAATTCTCCCCACAGAGCCAGGAATCAAGCCCTCAAACCAAGAATCTGAAGCCCTGGTTGTTTTCATTACACCACACCACCTTGTTCCATCTACCCGGAGCCATAGCTCCCAAACTGGGCACAAAAGCGGTGGAGCTTGTATGCAGCAAGCCACAACTTCCCAGTCAGCCCCAAGCTGTGGCCCTACCACCCGACCTGGCCTGAGCTTGCCCACCTCAGAGAACAGAGGAGGCTGACGCCATGCAGGAAATACTCACGGCTCCCGCAGGCCCAGGCGGCTCCGCGGGGTGCATCCTCTCCCAGGGCTCCGGCCTCCTGGAGAGCAGCCGATCGCGGGGCTGTGCTGCCTCCTCTTTCTGGAGCATCAGATTATTTTAGCACTTGCGGAAGGAACGGACGGAAACTGAAGTCACATGGAGAGCAAGCAGCGCAGCGACTCAGCACTCACAGAAAGCAGGCATCAGAAAGGGAACTGCCCCCGCGGGTGGGTGGCAAGGGGGAGGGAGAGGGCAGCCAGCGGGAAACACTGGTCTCCGGACTACCTGCTGGATTTGTCAAGGAGGGCAGATATTTTTATGGTCTCCCAACAATGCTGGCTCCAGGGGTTTTCTCGCCTCAGAAATTTTGAGGAGTGGTGAGCTGGGGGTCCCTGCCTGTGTGTTCTGCTGACCCAGAAAACTATTCTCCAAGGTTATGTCCAAGGGTCAATCTGTGGCAAACTTTGGGAATGGATAGGACACAAGTTTTCCACTTGGGAAA